GAGTTCAACAAAATAGCTGTCCTTCCTAGAGGTACAGTCCACAAATCTGTGTGTTAAAAAAGAGAGCTGTTGCTTAGCCTCGCTTTAACTTTTACACTTTAGGCATTAATCCATAAAACAGAAGAATTGCATATGTGATTTATACACTCTCTACATAAGCTGCTAATATCCAGTAGATAGTCGGTCAGTCCCCTTTCACTCTCCCTCTCTCTCTTCCTGCCCAAAACTCTGAGGAAATAAATTGCCATTTTGATCAAATCTAAACTGTGAGGCTCATTTCAACAAAAACTGCCTGTTGCTTTTCAAGAAACCCCAGTACATTTTCAGGAATGTCTTAGGGAGGAAATGCAGGCCAAATTCTACTCTGAAATGTGCACATACCCACCCTGCCCATGACTGCTCTTGCAGTTGAACACGCACAGCTGAGGGCAGAATTTGGCCGGTACGGTGAATGCAGAAATGGAAGCCAACATCAACTCAACACAGCCCACACAGATCTTTGGACAGCAAAAAATGTTTGCTTAAGGCGGGAATATTATCCTCAGCTCTAAGGGTTAGTCCAGCTTCTTTAGCAAAGAACAGGGGAGAAAGACAAGAGATTCCGATACTTCAGGGACTCTTCTGGACTTCTAGCAAAAGCAAACAGATAAGATCATTAGGTAGAACCAAGTCACTCCTGTAGATGCAGATTAATTTCTTTCCAGAATAGCATTTCTGAGTTGATGTTAGGTGTGAGCGCAAATCATCACATTAAATTTAAATTTAGACACTTCCAACATGTGGCAAAAGTAAAACCAGTGAAGCAGTTGTAGGCACAGGAGTTTCCTCCTGCCTATATAAGCATTGCAATACATGTCACCTGCCTAAAACACTCCTCGGATAATACCAGAATGACAAGAATTAATTGTTTTGTGCCAAACTAAGACATGCAGAAGACTTTGGGGCCCTTAAAAAATATCCCTTATAATTCTCAATAGCAAATACAAAGTACAGCAAATACAAAGCAAATAGCAAGTACAAAATCAAACTCTGAAAATCTACTATCTTTGGGGGAGAAGGGAAAAACCAAAGAGTAGTTCAAGCATAAATCTCGTACACAGTAAAAAATTAGGGGCAGAATGGTCTTACTGCAGCTAATTGGCTGTTTAGAGTTGACAGGTTGAGCTCTTCTAGTTTTCATTTATATCTCAGCAACAGAACCAGTGTTTTATTCACGGCCATTAAAAGGGGGTAACACATCTGCTAAAACTCTAGCACAATGGCTGGCTTTGCATTGCAACAGGAAATGTAACCCAATAGTCTCAGAACTTCTACAACTCTAGCCATTTCTTAATGTAAAATGATTTGAAAATCCAGTTCACTGAAACATCTGTTAAGCTCTTGCTACTCTAACACATGATATTCTTTCTTCTCTGTTACCTGCCAACAAAAATATTTGGTTCTATGTAAGACTATCACAAGTGTGTGATAATGGCACTCTGCTTCTAATTTTATATGCCATTGTACACCCACAAAATCACCTGGGGGTGACACTAGATATACTCGGTGTGAGCTCGAAACTTACAATAAATGTATTTAATTTTAATCTTGCATGTAAATAGCAGCAAATCAGATAGGTTCTGAATGACTAGCATTAATTTTAAACAAAAGAAACAACTCAGTCAAACTGTTTTTGAGCCAACTTTCAAGAGAGAGAAAAGGAGAGAGAGGAAGAGACAGAAGCAGAAGAGGAGAGTGAAAGATCATGAAAGAGAGAGGAAAAAGAAAAATGTAGGGAAAAACCCCAAGGAAGCAAAACCCTAGAGCCTTAGATCAAACCAGCTAAGTATATGCATCATCTACACAGTTACTTTCAGAGTTTCTCTTCCAATCTGTTATTTACAGTGGCCACTTGCTTCAATTTACATTTAATTATACTATAAGCTTCTCCAATTTACTGAGTAACTGTATAGTGGTAAGTAAAAGAGACACCCTTTGAATGTTAGTAGAGCCACATTTACTACAACAATGAAAATGGTAATTTACTTACAACTATTTCTTTCTACAAAAAAAATACTTGTTCTCCATTTCTGCCTAGCAAATCCTTGATGTTAATCTTGTTGCAAAGAGGTGGGAAAGAAGACATAGTCTTTCAGTTTCCAGTGCTCTACTTCACAAAACTACTTCCTGTGTACCTGATTTAAATGATTTAAATAGTGTATTATGTTTCAAAAGCTGACCAGACAACTCTCTGTGATTCAACAGCAGAGTTCACTATAACCAGCACAAACTTACCATATTTTTATGCTGTAGTCGCTCATAAAACAGGTTTGGAAAACGTGAAGTTGCATTTCTTCTTGCAGTAAGGTATGACCATTTACAGAGGCAACTAAAATTATGCCTCTACAAGCATGCCTCACATATGAAAGACAGACAAACCCTACCTAAGTATGTTTGTTCTTTTAGGAGAACCAGATTCTAAGTGATCTGCAAACCTTTTCCTTAATCAGAAACTTAAGATAGCCTGACTTCATGAAGTGTCCTAATTAGTGAAATTAAGTCAACATAGACACAGCAAATAATAGCAAACAGGTAAATAAGAGGGTGATATTAGAATACTGATCCTGAGTGCTTCAGGGAACCAGCTAAAACTGTGTTCAGTACCAGCGGTGTTTCCTAAGCAAAATTCTGTCGTGCTGAATGTGCCGAGTGCCACACGCCAGAGTTTCCTCTCCCCAAAATGGCAGTTCACAGTATGCAGCAACATGCACTTCTGAAGAAAATACTACATCCTCATCAACCAAAGTGGAGCTATTCAACATTCAAGAACTGAACAACTAAATTAAAAAAATATATATTTCAGATACACAATGTATATTTCTTCATTGTTGGAAATAACACAAAATAATTACTAAACTGTTATGATTTCTACTAAGTAAACTTTAGATAGATGGTTTTATAAGTACCACAGAAAACGATGACAAGTAAGTCAGACATATGAAAACTAATTTCTCAGTAGTAACTTGCAGCCAGGAGAGAACATAAGAATTATACTGTTCTGGTAAAAACTAGTAGGGAAACAAATGTATTTCCTAATTTTCTCCTACATCTGGCTTCAAAGTTTCCAAACAAGCCAAACCTTTGAGTGTTATTCTGAGCTACTCACCACTCAGAATATCTAGTAAGTCTTTGTGAAATACAAATTAAAGATGTAATTATTTTTATTAACAGCTTTTGCTACAAAAAGGCTCCAGTTAGAATCACGTATGTGTAGCTGCAGTCTGTGTGTGTATATAAATATATATACATATGCATATACATGCATGAATCTATACAGACTCCAAGAGCCTCTACAGTTCAAAATGTAGCAAAGAGCTTTAAACTGGCTCCAGAAGGATTAGACTCTGTACATATCACACTGCTGCAGCAGTTAAAGCTACTGCCTCAGAGATGAAAACTGGTACAGGCATATCCGCATGGCACCTTGCCTGAACTGATAAACCTTACCTCCTACCTCCACACAACCTTGACACGGATCTCTTGATTCCTGCGATGGACCCAGCTCAGCTGTAACTACTTTAAATGCTGCTGCATTGTGCTGCATTGTGCAACGCAGACATCCTTGCAAAACACAGCAACATACAGTTCACAACCTTGGGACTGTAGCTATAAGCTCTAAGATAGACACCCAGTATTCTCATCAAAACATTCACCTTAACTCTGTGCTGAGGTGCCACAGAAATTCAGAGATTAAGCCCAAGAAACATCCTCAACACAATCTATTCCAGGTTGGTGAAAGCAGAATCTCTAAAAAAGGAGAAGCAGCAGATCATTTGCTCCCTACAAATCTTAAAACAGAAAAACTCTGATGATGTTGAGAATTTCAGCTTAGCTTGTTTGCATACCCTGGAAAGGGCACTGTTCTAGTTTTACTGGCAATTGAAACATTGGTAAGGTTCAGGGAAACATAACAATTCATGTCAGAATATGACTTAATAAAACTGATGCTTAACCTCCACCCAGACCCTCCATCAAAACATTCAAATAACCTCAGTGAAATACATACAAACACAGAAGGACTTACTGAAGTGGTTGGTCATGGACTAGAGTGCACTATTATTCAGTGCTGATATTTTTTCTACTGTATTTTGTATTCTCTTTTATGTACCACCCATAAATAAGTAGAAACTATAAAAAAAAAAATCTATCAATTGTTTTAAAGAATTCAAAATGGACTTCAGTGTTTTATTTTGTTCCTTAGAGGAAGAGATTATCTGAGCAACAAACACAAAAGGTTCCTTTGTGAAAATATGTCAGAGAAAATAAAACTAACAATTCATAAAAGTTCCACAGATTGGATCCTTTTCACAGGACGTTGATAACATTCACTTATCCATCCTCAGGAGAACATCAAGATTGTTTCATAAACTACCCCTAACACAGCAGAAAGAAGGTTTTACAGATCCTGGTCAAAAAAACATGTTGTTGAAAGATATTATTACTTGTCCCAAGGTGCCTGAATGCTCACTTTGAAATCTCATGGACATAAATAGGTTTTGCATATACACAGGCTGCAAACTGCAGGCAGAGGTTAGAGGAGTGAAGACTCTCCTGACCGACACATTGTCAGGGCACCACACTAGAGCGTCTGTATTTTCGCTCCACGGCCCTTGCAGAGGATCCAGTATTATTCAAGAAGCTGTTCTTTTTTGGACATGTAAGCAGAGTTTTAAACACTATAAGAAGTGTTTTCCACTTACATTAACTGAGTATAAATTAAGATTGATTTCATTATCTCTGTGATAATGAAATGTAGAAGCAAATCTTTTTTTGCAGCTATACAAACAAGTCCCATCACTGATTTGCTCAGCTACTATAGGCTATGCAGTAGATTAAGATACTTAAGGATGGATCCCTCTGCCTCAACGATTCCTTCTCTGTTCTTTTTTAAATAAAAAAAAAATAAAATAAATTTGGTATGTACCACCAGCTCAGGGAGACAGTTATACCACAACCACTCATCAGTTGTGAAATCCTCTGTAGAAGGGGCCTCCTCTGGGCTTGAACAAATTGCCACAGCTAGATGAGTTGTGCAGGGGTATGAATCTTTTTGATATAGAGCTGCAGATATTCGAGGGAGACTCTTTCTCCCTGCTCCTCTTTTGGGAATACCCTTCTTTGCCAGTGAATAAGGGATAAGAAACAGTCAATAAGGCTAAAGGAAGCCAGTTCTCAATGAAGTAAGAGTCATCATCTGCCTAAAAAAAAAAGACTTTGGACTTCTTATAAATAACCTAGGCCAGAGGTTCAAGGGATTAGACTAACTCCTCCCAGTGCTATACATGCTGCAAATTCTTATATAATGGACCTTCATAATGTTGGCTACGAAAGAACCGCGTAGCCTTTCATTATGTCGTGGTGCCAGTCCAACGTTCAATGGAGACAAAGGGAAAACACCCGTTGCCTTCAGTGCTTTATAAGAATCAAGAAAATTGTTGGGTTTGTTGGCTTTCTTTTAAATATGAATGAAGGTGCTTTTACCACTGAAATCACTTTCCCTCAGCCATTAATAATGCCTGGAGATTCTTTTCTAACTAGGGCATCTGTTTACATAAAAAATGCAGTCAAGCATATTCCACTTAAAAACCAAAGCAATTTTTTGATGTTTTACATATACTGAGCACAGAAATAACTATCCCACACCTAAGATGTGCAACTACCTTAATCACAGTGAAAATCATATATTCAAACAAGGAAGTCATGTACTCCATTGAACAAGGTTCCTTTACTGAAGATTGACAAAGTTAATGTAAAATGATTGAAGAATCCTCTTCTAGAGCACTATCTTGGCACCATATTTGTCATTAAAATCAGTCATAGTTATAAAAGGCAACAGGTCAAAGCAGATACACACATCTGGATTTTTATAACTTTACTCCCCTGATTTGAAAAGAGAAGATGTGTAAAATACTGTTAAGTCATTCACTTACCATGGATTTGGTGAAAGGTCGAGCCAAGGTAAACAGCAGGGTGTACACCCACCAGTTACGATGAATGGAGGAGTAAATCATATTTCCAGGATGGACTGAATTAGATGTCACCCCATGAGGAGAAAGGCGCCGGTTCAGCTCATTGGAGAACAGTATATTGCAAAGCTTGGAACGATTGTAGGCCAACATAGCCCAATACTCCTTTCTAGATGGAGAAAGCAGGCTGAAATCAAGTTTTCCAGAGGAGTCTTTAATGTCTGTAAATCTAAAAAACAGTAAATATGCCTTAGATATCCCAGAGTTAATTTCACTCTCATTAAGAACAACATAAAATGTAGACGAGAGAATAGAACTTGGCCAGAACCTACATAAAACAACACCTTATTTAGCAGCTGAAAGCATCTAGTGGAAAATGCCTGAAACCTAGACAAAGGTCCCATATAGTATGGCAGTAAAATTACAGAAAAATTAGCAGAAGCAAATGACAAATAAAAACAAGCCAAAAAAAGCTTTAATGGTTTAAAGGCATAATATGTAACTTAGGAATCACTTTATTTTAAATCCAAAAAAAAAAAAAAAAAGATTTTGCCACAGATCTAGGAAAGCACAATCAACTTGGAGGAAATAACGTAGGATAAAATAACTCCATTAGAAGCAGAGAAAACCAGCATCCTTTCATTTCCCTTTCTTCCCATCCCCTGATTATTTCATCCAGTGTTCACATACTGCACACTTTCATTTAAGTGTTCAAGTAACTATGGATGAGTCTCACTGCCTCTTAGACTCTTTTTTAGATTAAAAATTGATGAATATAAAGGGGTTATAACCTTGGTAACTTGCCATCAATAGTCTTATATGTTTAAAAGATAAACGTAAACAAAGCCAAAATGAGTTCTGGCAGAGTATAATGTTTTTAAGTATACCCATGGCATGGCTGAACACAAATCAAAGTAACTAGTTGATGTTTTTTAATTGGGTCTGACAGAGTCATTAAACACCAGCTGTTTGTTTCTTTCCTTTTTTTTTTTTTTTTAATAACAAAGTAGTGAATGTTGTAAAGACATTTACATGAAGAAAAGGAAGTTTCCATATAGCATTCTTCCCCCCAATTCTTACAATTTGATTTATGAGTTTACTGGTATATCTTAATATTAGAAAATAATACTACATTTAGTTCTGTTTCATTCAGAAGAGCTACTAAAAATAAAATGGATTTAGCAAGCTCTTTTTAATACTTAGATTTTTCAGAATCAGCTGGGAAGAACAGGGATAAACATAATTATAATACACACTAGAAAAATGTTTTAAAATATCTTTACTAATTTTGCATCTCATGCCCAGAAATGAAGAGATCAGCTGGAATTTCAACATTCATTTTGTGAGCAGAATTATAATACACTCAGAGAAAAGCAACGATGGTATTTGAACTCAAGAGGGATCCAGGATGTTCTGTATCTTGCAGAATTAGCCCTTCAATCTCAACAACAAAATTTCTCTTTCATAATTTTCAGACAGATAAAATACATTTCTGAAATTAACAGAACTATTCTGGGAGGAATTTCCTATATTCATTCCTCAAGTAATCATTTATGACACCAAAAATAATCTATAAATAAAATACTTTGTGTATCCTGTGCAACAGAAACATGGTGGCATATTTTAAGTCCAGTCTTGCAAGTGTGCTTATGTGAGTCAATCTGACTTATGTCGGCAATCTCACTGAATTCAGTAGGATAAGGGCTGTACAATCAAATTAACAACACAGAAATAAAGACAGAAGGAAAGTCAACCTATTTACTATTCTGATTTTAATATGATGTGCTTAAAGTACCCAAAAGCTTAATTTAAACAGAATTAATTTGTGCTGAATCCAGAGAAGTAACTAGAAATGAATTAAGAACCAGAGAGGCAAATAAATATTTTGCCTTGGAGCAGTCTAGTATAATATTTTCTGCAAACATGGGACTTTATTTTTTTGCTAACATGGGGTCTTGACTCCTGCAAAAAGATCTAGCCAAGGTTTATGGAAGTAATAAGATAACAACACTTCCACTTTACAACATAGTTTAAGGCTCAGAGTTCTCAAGTAGGTCAGAAAGTACTACTACCTAATAATACCTAATGTCTAAACTAACTCCTTACATCAACTTCTTGCCATTAAACAGATGAGGGGAAAAGCACAGTTATTTACACTGATCAGCTTACGTGTTAAAATATGCCACAGTACATGAATTGGACCCCTTAGAAAAAGGGAAATTTACTATTTGTATTTATTATTTTATTCAAACATAGACTGTTACTTATTTTTTGATGGGCTTCTATAAAACTTGGCTGATCTTACTGAGTTAGCAATAAGCACTTAAAAAAATGTTTTTGAAAACACAGATAAAGATGTCCAGAGATGTGAGTTCTAGTTAAACACAGCACTTAATATAGTGAAAAACAAAGATGTCACTTAAAATACTCCAAGAGATACAAACTTACAAAGGGGAACAAGCAGCTGACAATTCAACATAATCTCCCACTAAATAACAGCTCATTTATCCATATCCCGTTGTGCCCTCCACATCTGGCAAGTGATTGGAGTTGGCAGATTTATTTCTAGAGCTATCTCGCCTGCCCCGCAGTAGCCTCCCTCACTCCTAACAGGACTCTGCTACTTGCTTTCACAAACCTGGTGTGATTTGCAAAGATAAGGATGTCCACATTTTGTTACCACCTAATTACTAGACATTTCATGTCTTTTAACACCAGGGAGGATTATTACTGGCATTTTCTATTGCTTCCTTTCATTTCAGCCATCATAAATTTAAAATGGTAAAAGTAAATCTATCTACAGTGTGTCATTTATACCATAAGCCCCTGTGTTTGGAAGTGATAAAGGTTTCAGCCTGACCCTTGGCTGGTCTGTCTCTACCAGGTCCCTGGGGTTACATTTTATGGAAACATGATTGAAAAAATAAGCTCCATTCTGGGTCACTAAAACATTTCAGAAATATGAAGGCAAGGAGGGGGAAAAAAAAGAAAAAAGCACTTACGCATTCTTCCTTTTGGTTTGCTAGAGCTGTTACACATGACCAAAAGTGAAATAGAAATCAACAGTAATGTTTAAAGCTGGACATTATAAGTTTAATCCCTCAGTGCCTGAGCTAAATCAGAAAACAGTAAGTGGTTTGTGCCCACTAAAATTCAGAACTGGGGCATGCATTTTGCACAAGGAACTTTATTAAAATCAAATCTGTCCTTTCAGTTATTAACACAAACACCACAAGCATGTCTGAAATAAGGCAAACCTCATCAACGTCTTTTTGTTGCCAGCTGTACTTCTCCTGGCAGTAGAAAAGATGAGCATCTAACATTTTAATTAAAAAATTCACCAAAAGAGGCATGGCCAGATTTCTAATAAGTATTAACTACACTGCTTCCCATTTTATAATTATACAGCTAATGTCTGCATTGAATTCCCTAATTTCTCATTATAAAACAATTGGATTTCATCTAGCAGTTTTTAATTGCATTGTTTCTCCTGCTAAAATAACTGCACATTCTTCTCGGTAAGATGTTGAAGTTGTTGAATGACAAATCAATATAGGTCATGCCATTCAGATTTAATCAATTATTATTCCATCTCCTCACAAAATCAATGACTGGTCTGAAATGCGGCGAAAATCTGCATTCGTACAAAGAATGATCAAAAAATACCTACATAGTTATAAAACTAGAACACACTTTATCCAGCAACAGAGCCAAACCCAGTAACATCCACCGATGTTAGTAAATCTTCTATTTTTTTAAAAAGATTATTTAAACACAAATACTTTAGAGCAGGGCCTTTTGTTTTCAAAAACTTTGGCAGTTCTGCCATAGCCGTTTTATGCTCTAAGGACTGCAGGCCTCAGCTAAAGCAATGGTGACGTTGACCAACCTGTGTGATTCGGAGGACACCACCACAACCCTGGCAGGAGATGACCGGCGTAAAACATCTTCCAGAAGCTGGACAAGATAGAAATGTCCCAGATGGTTCACCTGGAAGGTGGTCTCCAGGTCGTCCTCTGTCAGGCACCAGGGAGCCCCAAACACGGCAGCGTTGCAGACCAGGATGTGCAGAGGCCTGGGCGGGCAGAAGTGTGGAATAAAACCACATCAGGAAAAAGAAATCTCACGGAAATACACGTAAACATGGTCCTGTGTGAGCCGGAGTGAGGTGTGAGCCGGGCTTAGGTGTGTACTGGGCGCAGGTGCGAAGGCTTCGGCATGGCTGCAGGGTGGGTTCTGTGAGGAGAAGCTGCCCCCCCGCCGGTTCCGGCCTGTTCCAGGTTCCTCAGCGGCGCCACCACAGGCGGGCTGAGCCCCTCAGTGACACTGGTGGTGCCTCTGGGAAAGCGAGGGCAAAGCCCCCCACAGCTGAGAGGAGTGAGGGGAAAAGGTGGAAAACGGCAGTGTGGGGCTGGCGAGGAGGGGAGGAGGTGCTCGGGCGCCAAAGCCGGGATTTCCCTGCAGCCCAGGGACAGCCATACTGGAGCGGGTGTGCCCCGAAGGGCCGCAGCCTGGGGAGAGGCCCCAGCGCTGCCGCAGAGAAAAGCGTGAGGGGAAGGAGCAGCCGAGGGGAGCTGCTGTGAGCTGACCACAACTCCCCGTCCTCCGGCCCCGCTCAGGGTGGGGAGAGGTTTTAATTTTTATTTTCCTCTAATAAATTAGGTAACTTAATAAATTAGCCCACCACAGAACATCTCAAGATGCCTACCAGAGCAAGACCACCGCACCAAACTCCTTGTGTCCTGAAAGTTCACAACAATAGCGATCAGCGGATGGATGGCTGGCACACACGGGCAGGTCACCAGAAATACATCAACACTATCAATGGAAGGAAACAATCTCCTTCTGGTGCATTTAGAAAATAATTTTTTCCTAGGGGAGGAGCAGCTCCAATCACTTTCTTACATGGGGGACACATCTATTCATGACATCTGCACAACTGGTGCAGGGGAAAAGTGATTAAGAAATAAAGCCAATACAGCCAATAAAGACTGAGTTGGAAAACAAAAGCATCCTCCAGAAGCTATAATCTTTGGTGGAAAAACTGCACACCATACATATGAGATCCTTGAGACAGCATCCTTCCTCACTGAACTCAGCTAACCCAGTTTAAGGAATGCCACAATGAAGGAACTTGAAATGAAACATTCCCAACTTGCTTTGTAATGGGTAAGATTCTACCAAACTAGCTAGAAAAGAACCTAGACTGTCACATACCTCTCTCATTCAAAAATCAGGTCCAGAAAACTTCAAATTCCTTGATATCTCCATGTAATCTCAGGATGCTGCGCACCTTGCAGCCTTCCCAAACTCTACAGCAAGATCAAGGACAAGCATCCTTTCTGTTCTTTCTTGTCTTTTTTCAAATCCTTATGAAACACAGCAAGGACTCTGGTTCTCGGACCTCAGACAGATCTACATTTGCTAGATTGTTTCATCTCTAAGGAAACCTTGGCACCAATAGTGTATTCTTGTCCTTGAGTCAGAGTCTGACGCAGCAGACCTCAGCAAGCATACCCGAGCTGAAAACCTCAGACCTGAGACTCTGCAGCTGGCATCCCTGGCCCTGATATAATTAAATAGGAAAGGTCACACAAAATAATGACTATCAAACGAACACCTTTCATTCTTGCACTAACTGTGCACTAATACCTGTGATGTCCTAACACCACAATAGTAAGATGTCACATTTGTTTGTTTAGCCTGTTACAGGGTATTATGTCTTTACTGTAATTGGCCAAATCCTATGATACAAAATCAACCACCCAACATAAACTCTAATTCTGAAGATAATAAATGAAGCACAACTCAGAAAAATACCTGCTTGTTCTTTTCAAGTACTTCCCCACAGCCCTACACACAAAAGGATGACAGGAGACCCAGAGTCAGATCATTTTCCTGCATGGGTGAAGGACACATACACTGTAACTCAGCATCTGCAAAAGGAATTCTGGAAAATACTGTGAAACATGAAGCCCCAGGTTGTCAAACAAACCTAAGCAATTAGATTCCTTCAGGCATGTTTGAAAACTCCAGATTTTGAGAGCCCAGTTGTCAAAAAAACATTTCTGAAGGAATCAAATGCACCCTAGCTGAATACTGAAAGAGCTGTGTAATCATTGACATAAACACTAGGCTGTATTTCCTTATTAAAATAAATTTCAACTTCAGGCCCACTGGGAAGTTACCAATGTAGTCTGCTTTAATAAGAAGTTAACAATCTAGTATCTGTACCTGTGCCAACTTGGAAAATTTCAACAAAAAGCTTCAGAAGCAGTGTGAAACATCTGTGTAGTTTGGGAAGCTCATTTTCTGAAGCGCTGAATTTCTGATTTGCCTTTTGGTCAGAGACACTTATACGCATAATATCGTCACATACATACTACACCCACAAAAGAAACTGAAGATGAAGGGGGACTGTCCTTTTAAGGGCAAGATTCTTTATTTTTCTTCAAACCAACTTCAAAAAAAAGGCAGTTTGTTTTGGTTGTTTTTTTTTTTTTCACGCAACACAGTGCAAGCAGGCTATTTACTAAGATAGGCAGGATCATATTTTTTAAAAGGTACCAAAATGTTTTAAACCCAAGTTCATTTTGTCTGTTCGAGATGCATCTGCCAACAGGAAAACAAAACCTCATGAAGCTTGACAGTGCATGTGTGGAAACTTTGGATGATTCATCACCTCTTCTGAAAGTTTATGGAAAGCTCTAGCAAGAATTAATTTACAGATTTGTAAATCTGCTGGGAAGAAGGACCAACTTTCTTCATCATAGATGCAATTTTTGCTGTAAGAGCCTCCTGTACAAGAACTGAAGCACACGAGTACAGCAGTAATACATGAAATACCAGCGCCATTCCCTGCAAAAGCAAACATGGCACTTTTCAAAAAGACTGTAATTCTCTTTGATAATTGTCATATGTACTATGACGTTAACAGACCACAGTAAGACAGAAAGGACTCGCATATGAAGCAAAACTATATTCCACTTATCCAAATAGTAGTATCCTTCATTAAGACTAATTACGCAATAACTACCAGAAGAAAAATATGCACTCTTTACTTAAAACTGTCAGCTCAATTAATTAAAAGATTATTCTAGAATTATAAAACTATAAAATGTAGTCACTTTTAAATTGTCAGGGCTTTTAATTGGGTTTTATAAAAGAAATAAAATTATGCTTCAGGGCTTTTAATTAGATTTGTATTTTTCAAACAAAATTTTGTTCTAACTTTTTAAAGTAAAAGTAATTAAAATTAAAGGGATGGTAAAGTTTAAAGTATTTAGAATATTTTATTAAAAATTTGTGAAGAAATATAAAAATACAGAGACATATTTTCATACTGAAAAGGTAATATCAGCTTCCGTTTTAGAATTTCTTTAATTAGTGTTAGTGTTTTTAAATGGTTAAAAACTGATTTCTCTAGAAAACACCACAGAAAAGAAACCTAAAGAGTCTTATCAATAGATATAGCTGTTGTGCTTCATTTCAGCTCAGAAAGAACCACTTCTCAGATTTGGATACATGTCCATTAAGCTATCGGTGGCTCTCATCAGGCTGCTAACAAAGGTCCAATTACTGAAAACTGTCATCGAAAATTTTGTGACCTGGACACTTACGCACCAGGAAATGAATGAGATTACCTATGTAAGAGCCACCATATAGTTATGAATTTCAGCCACAGATGACAGATTCTAATCTCAATGGTGCAGAGCTCTATATCACTGAGCGTATCATTATGCAGGAACAAAATTTTTAAGACACATGACAATTCACACCACACATCTGGCACTACAGCTTTGCTTTATGACAGGAGTATTTTTAAGTGATAGCAGAACCATGACCTTGATTTCACAAGTTCATTAAAAACATTGCTGCGATCTACATTAAGCTTTCTCCTGAGCCCGATTTAAAAAAAATAATCCCCTCTTGGTTTAAAATAGTTTGTATTTCTACACCAAAGGCACATCTAAGGCCAACAAAAAATGTCAGCAGCAAAGGAAAATTTTCTTTAGTGTTTACCCCTGGTATCGACATTACCAACCTGCTCCCTCTAACCATGACACCTATTTGATATTTCTGGAAACACTGTATAGTTAAAACCTTACAGAGTGTTTTGAAAATTTACCCCTATGCCTCCTTAAAATGTCTTCATTCAGTGACTTACATCAGAGCAAGTGAGCTAAGGTGGTCTACCATTAAAATTTAAGTATGCACTGGGACTCGAACATGAGCTGCTCCATCATAGCATGTAGTCACTGTTTCTTATCCTTCACAGCATGACCGAGGCTCAAGAATACTCTGCTTTAACTGCAAGCTATACAGCAATTCTAGAAAACTCTCCTTGTGCTGGTAAGTGTAGCTACAATTTAGTAAAAGTTAAAATGCATGTCGAATTAACACAACATTCTTAATTGTGAATATCTCAGCTGAAAACCATCTAATATCTTGTGCACTTCACAAGTCTGCGATATATCACTAACCCTTGCAACAGGCAATTCAGATCTTATATGCTGTGCTCATCATTAGGAGCACAAAGCAGTCCAACTGCTCCTTGCTATTTGAAAATACAGTTAAGTGAATAAATTAGAGAGATACAAAAATTAAGTTGTTGTTATAAATCAGTTAGTTACGAAATTTAATAATCAATTTGTTAGCACCTGATGTAAAACTATGATCTGTCAGCAGCCTCCCAAGCTGGCTGTGTGCAGCAGTAGATATTTCCAAGGGAATTAATTACTGATGATTTGCAAAGGTAAGAATAATATTTTTCAACAAATGTAGCCTGTGCACTAGGAGGTTAAACAAACACCACCAAAATGTCAACAGAGTTCTTGGCTTTGGTGTTCTCCCATTTCAAACGTAATGAAATAGTTAACCAGAAATTATGCAAAGGGAATACTTTCAAATCTTCCCATGAAGCAGAATGTCACACCATCTGGGGCACTTCTCAAGTGATTTGAAAAGTTCACACTGTTTGGAATTACACTGAAATTCAACAGAAAAGGCCTCACCATATCCCCAAAGTCCCATAAGCAACTGCAGACCTATGTCATGGCCAGTAGAGAAGGCAGA